CCCTGGCGGCGGCACCAGAGCCCTTGGTGGAGGCACCGGAGCCTCCGCGGCGGGAGGGCGCCCCGGGCCACAGCGCCGCTCTGCCGACCCTCGCCCCGGCCTCCATCGTGGGGCTAGGAGCGTGTAGTCCAGGAAATTCAGTAAGAAAAGATTAAAAAGGAGAGATTTTTATGCTGAGTCAAATTAGGTATTTTTTGTTGTTGTTCTCTTGAAAAATTAAAAAAAAAAAAAGAAAGGAAATTAAAGTCCAACTTGCTGATTTCTTGTTTCTCTGCTGTCTGTGAGGGAAAGTCCTGCTCGGCCTTGCTGTCCCATTCCACCCCCTCCGAACCCTTCCCCCAGCAGCCACTCAGCGTTTCCCGAGCCCTGGACTCCTCGGAGCGCCGGCACCTCCCGCAGCTCCAGGCCCCACGGTCCCTCACCGCCCCTTGGATTCTCCGTACGTGTTGCGCAGCATGGAGACCATCTTCTCCTCGCACGTGACTTTGGTGTCTTTCAGGACGCTGTACCAGACCATGCTGGGCGGCCGGACCTCTTCGCTGCGGCAGAACAGGTAGGGCATGGTTTCCGTGCGGCTCTGGATGTAGGCGCTGCGCAAGAGGGTCGAGCAGTGACTGCTGACCTTCTCCAGCCTCCTCAGGATCAGGTGTGCTTTCCTGGAAGGCAGAAACGGAGATGGAGACAGGCAAGGGAGTGCAACAAAAAAAATAGAGGCCAGGATCCTGGGTGGCTCTATCGTGCAACAAACTGAATGAGACCTGTTGCCTTCCCCGATTTCGGTAAAGAAGAGGCGTTTCGCTACAAAAATTTGTAGTACATCTACTGCTTCACCAAACAGTTGTAGGAGATGGGACACTGGGCTCGAGGGACCTCACTGAACCCCAGGTTTGCTGTCTGCTGCTGTGGCTATGGGCATCACTGCATCCACAGCCTTGGAGCCCCATCTGCCTCCTGGCCCGGGGCACAAGGGGGAGACCCCAGCACCGCGGCTGCTCCCCTGGCTCATGAGCACAACCTCCCCCCATGGGTGATCTCAAGAGTTTCCCGAAGGGGAATGGTCCAACAGGACCAATGCTAGAGGAGAGGGGACGAAAAACACAACATATGAAGACAAAACAAAACAAAGCCGTAAGAAACCAAGAATCCCCCTCGTGGGAGTCTGCAAAGTGCTAAATCAAACAAAGGGAGAGCAAGAGGGTTTACTTCAGCGGTTTGAAAGTCTCAAGATCACAGATTATTTCCTCTCCCTCTGGTGCCACAGGAAAGCTCTGGATTTGGGGTTAGGGGATTTCGCAGTTCCTAAAGGAATGTAAATTCCCGATAATGATATGTGAGGGGCAGTGCTGTCAGTCAGCGAGGCATAAACATGGGGATTATTTGATTATGAAAGCTTTATGGTGCTTCAGCCTGGATTGTGAGCTGCACGGTCAGGAGGGAGCGCAGCGATTTCTGATGTGGCTGCACTCCCAAAGGCATCCCACTGATTGAGATTCCAAGGAGGGACTCGCCATGAGTCATCAAAGCGTGAGCTCCAGACCAAAGAGCAGACGGAGACAAGGCAAAAGGGCACTCAGGCACCCGCAGCCAGCTACAAATCCCTCCCTCCAGAGCAAGATGACTAGATGAAAGGCTAACAAACCACTGCTCTATCATCACCAGAGCTGCTCTCAGAAAACTACCCTTCCCTGTCCAGAAGAAGACAGGCTCTGACTCCTTTATCCAGGGGAAGAGACCAGCAAGGGATGATGCTATCCCTTCTGGAATGATGCTAAGTGTGAAGGTGGTGCGTGTGCATTGGTTTCACACACAAAGGTGAGCCCCAGGAGGCAATTTGAACCTCATTACCTGTTCATTGCCTATATGCACACCTACACATACACTTATCTCCTGGGCTAAGCTGTGTCCAAACTATGGCAGAACATCTCTACTCACACTACTCTGCTTGGCAGGCACCTCACCTTCTAGACCTGCCTTTGCTCCCATTGAAGATCAAGACAACACTTGGCAAGATCTTGGCAACACTGCCAAGAACAGGTCCTTTGGTGCTGGACAATCCATCACAGTCTCTCCAAAAGGCTGTGGCTCCACAAGTACTTTTATTTAACATGATTTTATTTAAAGCAGAATTTTCACTCTTGCCCAGCTCGTCCCTGACCGTTCCCTTGAGCTCAGCAGCTGTTTTGGTGGCTGAACGCCATGCCAATGCATGCTGGTCTGAAAGCCAGCCCAGCAACCCCTGGATTTCCACTCAAATCAGTTCCCCAGGCTGCAAGGTTTTCCCCAACCATCAGCCAGCACAAAATGCGGAAAAACAGTGAGTGGCCATGATCAGCACTTGAGGCAAATCACAGTGATGGGTAACTGCACCTTGGCCCTAATCTACCTCGAATGATACCTGGGCTCCCCAGCATGCAACTGCCCATGTCCAGCCAAACATACCCATGTGAGAAGAACAGCTCATGGTGGCAAGACATACAGAGCAGAACCACCTAGAGCTGTTGATGTCCGATTTGCTGGAGGCTGTGCTCATTTTGGAGCTGGTCTCAGCACACCTGCTCACTTGCAGTGTGCTTGGTGCAGCTGGGAAGATGCTGATGCATGCAAACCCCTCTGCGGACAAGCAAACGGTAATGGGGACAGCGCATCATGGACAAGAAGACGATAATGGGGAGGGAAGGAATCAGGTCTCTCACTTTTGGCATCCTCACATCAGCACCAATGCCACAGTTTGAAGGGTTTCACCTCTTTGAGACTGAGTCTTTTTTTTAAGAAGTGGGGTAATAAAGTCCTATGTAAATGTTAGATTTAGCTTTTGGCTGTCAGCTGTTCCCTCTTAAAAAAAGTAAAGAAGGAGAAAGAGAGAGACAGCGTGGGTGAGGGGAGGGCTGAGAAAGAGAGAGAAGCTTTCTGGTGAAGGCTGGTAATAAATTATAGGAGCAGTTCTTGGGCTGCCAATTTAACACCATAAATCAAGCCCTGGGTATTACCCAAGTGCTCCCTGTGGAGGGCTGCCGGGTCAGAACGACCACCTTTTCAAATACTGGAAATGAAATCTTCCTAAATGCTGACCAACCTCATCCCTGCCAGGAACAGTAATTTATTGCCTTATTAAAGGGCAGGAATGAGGACAGGACGGCAGGGGAGTGCAGGGGGGATCGTTCTCATGGCTGCCCATGGCCATATCTGTTCTCTAGAAAGTGCCCACGCTTTGAAGCCTGGAAAGGGATGAAGCAACCCTCCTCCCCCTCGCCCCGTATCCCTGGCCCGAGCCCGGGGTGTCCCTCCTTGCGTGTGGCAGCGCGTGCCCACCCAGGCTGCCACGCTGCAGGGACCGCTGCTTTAAGCCAGCAACTGATCCTGGTCTCTACTGAAGTGAAGGATTTAGGAGGTCACAACTGCAGTCACAAATGATGAAGAGGGGGATTATAAATAGTGGCTGCTCTGCGTGTCTGCCTCCCTCCCTGGTATGGCATGGCAGCAGAGTGCCCATGGTGGTGGAGGGAAAAGGGGGCATTTCCAAAGTGCTCATACCTCTGTAAAAGGCACCAAGAGGGTGGTGCAGTGGGGACAAAAGGGGACAAGGCCCTGAGGCCCCCTCAGTTGCCAGGCCTGGCTCTAGAGGGACATGCAGAGGAGCAGGAGACGTGGCCATGCCCGGACCAGGTGCTCCCTGAAGGAGGGACTTCACCTTCCCCTGCCCATGTTCATCCCCAGAGATTATTCACCTTGATGACTCATGAGGGTTCAGAACTCATCCAGAGCCAGCAAAACGCTGCTCTATCCGACCAAGAAGAAAGTCAGGAGAGCAGCAGAGAAACAGTGACACCTGGGCTGGAGGGAAGGATAATCTTCCCAGTGCTGCTGCAGGGAGAGAGTGGTTGCCTGACTGCTCTGTTGCCATATGGGGTGATTTTGCCATAAATTCATTTTTTTTCCAGTTTACTGAGAACTGACCTGGGTCTGTCAGACCCTCGTCTGGGAGGATAATGAGTCCAGGACTCGATGGCCTCTTATCACCGCCTCTCATCAGTACATTGCATTCCCCCTCGGTACCAAAAGGCAGCTGCTGGGGAGATCGTGCACTGCTGAGGATATTTGTCTCCTGCTGTGGTCACAGCCTGTCTGCCCAGGCCACTTGCTTAAGAAAAGGAGAGGCTTTGAGCCCTGGGCTGATGCCACATCCTGACCCAGTTGTTTCTGGTAGCCAGAAGTAGGGCCATGGAAGGAGGATCTTAACCCTCCTGCTGATTTCTCCCCATTCCTCCTGAAAGCCAAAGCCTGATTGCAGTGGTTACAAGAATAATACATAAGAAAAACTAATAAAGAAATAATCTTGCTGTCAGGAAGCACCATTGCTGAAGAGATCCAAAGATCTGAATGCACAGTAGCACTAAACCTTCACTGGTTTAGACAAATTCTTCTATTCTGTCGGAACAAATTAACTTTGCAAGATTCACTTGGTTTCTGTGAGGGGAGCAGGAAAGATGTTGTTGCTACAGGAGACTAGTAGGACAGAGCAAGCCAGGTGCCAAGACGCTGCTGACCACAGAAAGTCCTGGTTTAGGGCCACCTATGAGCTAAGTTTTTAATGTCTCCTTAATGTAAACCGTCTGGTTGGGACATCTGTGTCTTCTCGCAAGCAGCTGTTTGCAGTAACCTGTGGCTTTCATGGAAACTGGGCTCACGAGGACTCCAGTGTGATGTATTTATTACACAGAGGCAATCAACTTCCCTCTTGTCGCTCAGCTTTTATGAGTGAGCATTTACTGTGATTCTGAAGCTCATCTGATAAACATTTCCAGGTACAAAAATGACTGTCCTCTTGGGAAAGAGAGCAGTCCATCAATTAAAACTGTGTTACAAGATGGTGTCCCTTGGCAAATCTTCACTTGCCTTCTACTTTGTCAGTGCCTTCGTTTCTGTCCAAGCTTCCTGAGATGTAAGGCTGGACGATGGCGCTTCGTTCTTGTCATGAGCCTGGCACCAGCTGCAGCTGCATTTATAAACGTTTCCTCTGGGCTCTAAGTCACATATTTCTCAAGTACGTAACAGGACATGTGAGCTCTGCTATGAGATCATCTAGCTCACTGTGGAAGGCAGACTGCAGTAAAATTGACCAGTGACTCCAAATGTCACTTGGTATTCAGTGGGGCAGGGGATTTAAATGTCATCTTGTAAATGGCTTGATGAAGGTATCAGGCCAGATAATATCCTTAAATAAGTGTGTTGAATATCAAGTAACAGAGGAAATCAGAACATGCTAGAAGAGGGGGATGTCCCCCAAGGATTTATAGAGATGAACAGTTAAAAAGGGCAAAAAAATTTGTGGCGTCATCAAAGGAGAAGGAAGGTGGTAGGAAGCAAGACACAGTGGCTGCCTGTCAGAGGTTAATGAGCTACCACAGAAATTACAAGCAAGGTCATCTCTGTAGGAGGTGAGCCACAGACCAGCCTGGATTTATGTCCAGGAGGAGTGAAAACTGCTGTGAGGAACTGTCATCTTGGTATTATGGACAAATCCTCAGTGTGTCCAACAAGGAGTGGGGAGAGAGAAGGAAAATCTTTGCCTGCAATTAATCATCCCATCTCACTCCATTCTTTCATGTTTCTTCTTCTCATATAACAACGTTAGGCAAGATGCTGGATAAAGAACTTCAAAGCAGGTCAAGGCTAGCTGAAACCTATGAAGGATCTCAATACAGAGAGCTACAGCTTCTACTGAACATACCTTTCTGAATATATCCCAGGGGGTCTTGAGGTTATGTGGCAGTCTGGCAAAACAGCTTTTGTCAGGACACTGCCATCCCTCTGAACACAATGTAGTCCATGGCCGTGTTACTCCACTGCTGTGATCTCTCAGGATCTGCTTATTAACCATTTCACCATACACCAGTGTTTTGAAGGTACAGTCCCTCTGGAAATGTTGTTCTTTATAATCACAGAAACAATCCTTTACCAGCCCTCCCTAGAGCAAGAAATTTACAGTAAACAGAACACATTTCTAGTGCAAGGCTTCATATAGATAACAGATGATGCAGTGTTCCCTCACTGGCATCTTTGTATGGTGTCAGGCACACCACGGCATGAAAATTTAGGAAGACCTGTCCAGTGGCTATATCAATAGAGCTGAATTATTGTCTTGGGAAAGAGGGAAGGCAGTAAAGGAAATCTCAAAAATATTTACAGAATGTATTGCAGCCATCTACTGTTGTGAGGATAAAGATCTGTCAGATCGGATACATATAAGGAGAAATATATAGAAGGAAATTTCCATAAACCATCTTATTTAGTAGAGCTGACATTACCACATGCAGATTGCTGAATCATTGACTTCTCTCATGTTATCAAATTGTAAAGCTCCAGACAAAAGTAATAATCTGTTAGCTGGCATCTCAGCTCTGTCATTCTAGGGGATCACAACTGTTATCACACAAGAACAATTTTCCTGCACTAGGATATTTGCATTTATACACATCCTCAGCCACAACAGGAGGTACTGGGTGCCTAAAGCCACACCTGGGGCAGGTGATCTTCTGCTTTACTGTCCATGGGGAATAATAGCTGCCTGTGTGTGGAGACAGCACAGAGAAAGATCTGTCGCACTGTGGGAGCACGACACTGGGGGTTGCACCATGTTGTTCCTCGACCTGGTCCTCCATCCAAGAGCACCTACTGCCACTCTTCATTACCTGGCTATTTGCCATGTACAGATACAACAACATAAGGATGGACATGCTATAGTCCTGAAAAACCTCTGGGGCTATTGCTCCCTCCATACTGCAGCTCTTGACAGCAAATGCATGCTGCCAACACATCATCCTTACTATAAATGTACCTGCTGCATTTCTGCTTCATTCCTTCAGTCCCTCTTTCCAGCCACCCACCCTATATATAATCACGGCACCTGTGAATCCCAGAGGAGCCATGGTCTCATCTACCAAGATTTTACAGCTTAAGAGGCTCTGAGTCAGTCTCACTTTACACATAGTCCATTCACTCTGTCCCTGCCTAATTTATGGCCCTGGGCCCTCACACGGCTTTACTAATACACTCAGCTCCTTATTTTCTCTATCTCCCACCCAGCTTAGACTGGTTTGCCACACAGCTGCTGGACCCTCCATAATTATTCATCTGAGCCATGCCTGAATGGGTCCTGGCACTCACAGGGGACTGTAAGACAGTCTGGTGAACAACACAGGGGCAATATCTCTCAGATGAGAAGGCAATGAGATTCACTTTGGTAGTGATCAAACAGTGCAGCACTCCAGTGAAGCAGCAAGGGAGAAGGAAGACAAAGGACAGGTACCTGGGCCCCAGCTCATCCTCACTGCGCCAGACGAAGTCGCCAAATTTCTCATAATGGGAGTTGTAGTGATGCTGGACACGGAAGAGCATGGAAGCGGAGACCTCCATCAGCGTGTTGTAGGCTGTCTGCTGCTCCTTCCCGCTGGTATAACCATTGTAGAGGTTGTAAATTTTGTCAGCTATCTCTGAAAAGGATCCAGGGGATAGAATTTAATGAGTAGAAGGTGATAATACAGGATAGAGAATGAGTCTTTGGGGAGACTAGCAGATGGGGCATGGTGGCTGGGACGGTGGCTTCCTCCACCGCTCCTCACATGCTGCCTGCAGTGCTGTTCAACAACATGCACAGCATTTAGCAAGTCCTCTGGCTAACCCTGTGCTGAGCTAGGCCCCAGTAACTCCAGCTATACACAACAAAAGAACGGGAGAAGGAGGGAGAGAGACTTGTTGGCCAAGAACTGCCAGTCAGCACAACCTTACTTGCCCAGTTAGGATGGATAAGCTCTTCCCTAAGTCACCGAGAGGAAAATAAATGCACAGCTATGATGCCTTCCTGCAGCACAGGGGATTGGGGCTGCACCCTCTGAAGCCCTACTACACACAGAGGACTGCTGGACCAGTGAGGACACAGAAACGCAAGGAGAACTTAGGAGTGAAACTGGGTAAAGCAGGATGCACCAGGGAAATTATTGAAAGGCTGGTAATCAGCAGTCTGGGAAGAGCAAGAGGAGGATATATGGGCAAATAAGCTGTTTGGTGAATTGGGCCCCATGATTTATTAAAGGACAGAAAGAAAATGACGTTGCTGATAACAAAATGGTAATTTAGCCAGAATGCAGTGAATCATCATTGTGGCTATTCCAAAAGAGCAGCTCAAAGATTTGTTAAACAAGAGGGTGTACTTTCTGCTGTAAAAGAAAAATCTCTTTTTTTTGGAAATGAAAAGAGCACAAAAAATATTTCCTTTCTTTTCTTTACTTTCATTTTTGCTCATTTTTTCTTGGAAGTGCTTATCAATAACCTTAAACAAGGCTTTAATCAAAACTTCCTTTTGTTTGCTTTAAAAAAAAGAATGAAAGAAAGAAAACCTACCTTTCATTTAGATGAATCTTTTTACATTTAAAGGCAGCAAAATGCTCAGTGAGGTGGAAAAAAAAATAAAATCTGAAAACACAAACATCCAAGAATCTGAGCTTTTATTCGTGTTTCCATTTCAGAACCAAACTAGCTGCCACTTTTTTAAACACCTGATAGTCCCATGCACTGCTCTCACCCTGCTGTCCCAGGGCAGTATCTCATTTTTTTTCAATAAGAGATACGGACTCTCTCTTTTTCCAGGGCACGTAAGTCAAGACGCACATTAACAGCTCCCGTGATCACGCACAGCGAGAGATGCTGTGTTGCTGCACAGGATCACAGTAAAAATCAGCTCTGCAGTTGAAGGGACTTGAAATTTGTCATCCCTTTCCAGCATAATATGCCTGTGTCCTAATACACAGGAGCTTGCAGACTGGGAGGGACGAGATTAGGATGGGAGAACAGTGCACACAGGAAAAGCAAAGTTAACAGGAAATGGCTTTTGTCCTGGAAAACCAGACACCTGAACACTGACCTTCTGCCTTGCTGTCATCTACCAGCGGGCAGGCTGTCCTCAGGGTGACCGTGCTCAGCTCCGAGTGTCTCCCTCGTGTATCCACTGCATATAGGGTAAATCTAGAAGGCAGGAAAAAAAGAAAAAGTTGTCCTTATCCCTCAGTCCAACATTGGCAGGTTGTAATCAGAACCAGCCTTCAGGAGAGAAGAGAAAAACGTGGTCCAGGCTCATATCAGTCAGTTTTGGCAACTCAGGGAGATGTGAGACGAACTGTGGGAAAGGAGCCAGGGCCTCAGTGGCCCCCGACGCCTGCAAAGCTGCTTTTCCCCTTGCACGGTGGTTCATGGGGCTTTACACCACAGCCTTGTGATGTGAAGGGACACAAACATCCTCAGGGCTGCCTTACCATGCACCAGTGTGAACATGACCGTGCCACGTTATTTGCACGTGGGGTTCCCCTGTGGTCCGACTTAAAAGAAAGGAGCAGTAACTGCTGCCGTGAGCAGGCACTGTGCAGACAAGTGACAGCTTGGACACATCACACAGAATCCCAGAATGGTTGAGGTTGGAAAGGAGCTCTAGGGATCATCCAGTCCAACCCCCCTGCTCCAGCAGGGACACCCAGAGCACGGGGCACAGGGCGGCATCCAGGCGGGTTTGAAGATCTCCAGAGAAGGAGACTCCACAACCTCTCTGGGCAGCCTGTGCCAGGGCTCTGGCACCCTCACAGGAAAGAAGTTCTTCCTCACATGGAGATTAAACTTCCTATGTTTCAACTTACATCCATTATCCCTCGTCCTGTCACTGGCCACCACGGAGAAGAGCCTGGCTCCATATTCCCCACAATCACCTCTCAGGTACTTGAACATGTTGATCAAATCTCCCCTCAGCCTTCTCTTCTCCAGGCTAAACAGGCTCAGCTCGCTTAGTCTTTCCTCATACGATAGATGCTCCAGTCCCTTAATCATCTTCAGGGCTCTGCGCTGGACCCTCTCTAGAAGCTCCATGTCCTCCTTGTCCTGAGGAGCCCAGAACTGCACCCAATACTCCAGGTGCGGTGGCACCAGAGCTGAGCAGAGGGGCAGGATCCCCTCCCTGGCCCTGCTGGCAACGCTCCTCCTGATTGCCTGGGGTTATTCCTTCCCAGGTGCAGGACCCTGCACTTGTCCTTGTTGAACCTCACGAGGTTCCTCTCTGCCCAACTCTCCATCCTGTCTAGGTCCCTCTGAATGGCAGCACAGTCCTTGGGAGCGTCGGCCACTCCTCCCAGTTTGGTATCATCGGCAGACTTGTTGAGGGTCGAGTTATTGATGAACAAGTTGAAGAGCACCAGGCCTGGTACTGACCCTTGCAGAACACCACTGGCCACAGGCCTCCAACCAGACTCGGCCTCATTTAACACCACCCTCTGGGCTCTGCCACCCAGCCAGTCCCCAATCCACTCACTTCCAGTCATCCAGCCCACACTTCCTGAGCTTCCCTATGAGGATGCTGCGGGAGACGGTGTCGAAAGCCTTGCTGTAACTGGCCCTTGAGGTTGTTTTTTTCCCCTCGTTTCCTCAACAGGGTGGGGTTGGTAAAAGGGTGGGAATGACAATGTCACACTTGAAACTAATGGAGAGCACCTGACAGTAAAACGCGGCTTTTGTGCCAGATGGAGCATGGAGCAGCCTGTGGTTGCATGGGGCACTCTGGGATGCTGAGCTGAGAGCGCGCTGGTCAGAGCATCAAAGCTTCAAGCTGAGAAGGTTCTCAGCAGCAGGGAGAACCACCTTCTGCCCACTCTCCCAAAAGGCATCCACTCCTATTTATCCTCTCCAAGCCAGGCACGGCAACTCGAGCTGGCTTTGACAAAGTGCAGGAGCTGCCTCGCACACCTCGGAGGCCTGAGATGCCGGTGCTGGGGAACCTGCTCCTTTATACACACAGGGAATTACACAGCCCTGCTCCTTATCCTAAGGTAAAGCTGAGTAGCTCTTGCAAGTGAGTGCAAAGAGCATCATAAAAGCAGCTGAAGCTTAAATGGGATTGAGAGGCTGAGGCATGTTTACTTAAAGGAGTGCTCCAAACTCCTGAGTACCCGCAGTGGGGACAGGAGCAATGCCTGCCTTTCCCTTTCCCTCCCTCCCCACCGCACGCAGTTGATAAGAGATGACATTTGCACAGTAGCAATTGCCAGCACTTCCCAGGACATACCCTCTCAGAGCAATTAGCGTTATTTCCTTAACAATCCTTCGTGTTTGAAAGGATGCCAAGAATCCACTTGTGCTCAGGGATGACAACTCCCATACTCCCAAAGCCACGCTGGGCCGGAGACACGTGCTGAGCTCACGCAAGGAGATGCTTTTTTAATTCTTTGGCATGATGTCATTTTCCTTAATTTGAGAAGAATGTCCTTCAGTGTGTGTGTGCATCCGTGGAGCAACATCCATCCTGCCTGACTTTACAAGCACCACACACGGGCCATCCTCCTGTAAGAACTGAGAGAGCAGGAGGGTCCTCCATGGGGCAATTCTAACTGCAGTGCTGTGTATCCCATTCTGGAGGGAACACCCCCTGCCCCTTCCTTTTTTGAATAGATGAGGGATTTAAGGTGTCCTCAAGTCTCCTCAAGATGTTTCTCACCTCTTCCAGAGGACCCAGGAGTCCTGCTGCGCTGGCCATGTCCTAACTAGTACGCAATGCTTCTCCTGCCTCGACAGAAACACGACGAACTGTAAGAGGGCCTAATGAGAATATTTATTCTGCTGGCTAATTTCCATTCCCATCCTGGGGTCACTTATTAGTTAGTCCCCATGGTTCTGTTGTTGTGTTTTCTTTTTGGAATATGTGAGA